TCCCGGTCGGCCCGCCGTTAGCCTGACGCCTGGGGCTTGGGCTCCTGCAGTCAGACACACCGGCAGTAGAGCAACACCAGGACGCCCAGACGTGCGGAATCTGTTTTCTGGGGAGACTGGTGGGAGGGACTGGGCCACAAGGCAGAGTCCCAGGGTCCCGGGCCCAGTGTCAGGGGGCGAGCTGTGGGGTCTGTGCCCGGTGGCAGCAGCAGTAATGAAATCTTTGCTGGAGCAATCTGCCACAGTGTGATCTGGGGTTGTTCCTGGCTTCCAGGCCATGGAGTTTGTGCAATTTAGACAGTCACCCCTTCCAGAAACTTTACTGCCATCTGCTGGGAAATTGCTATGATATACAAATCTAGCATATATTACAACAGATACATAAATCTGTCTAGGGTGTGAATGGTGCCCCTTGAAAAGTGGTGTTGTGCAGTATGCAACCTACACAACTGATCTTGGTGTCCCTGCAAGCCTGACTCTTTGGCTCTTGTGGAGATTCTGCAAGAGGTTAATTTCCTTTAATAAATGCCTTTTCTACTTAAGCTACCTGGAGTGGATTCTGGTGTTTGCCTAAGAACCATGACTGATACGAATAGGGCTAATGATATGTGCTTCACAGGGCTAAAAACCAGCTGACCAATGGATGTACGAGTCCTCTGAGAAGGCAGAAAGCACTTAAGTTACTCAGAGGGTTTGTGCTTAATTGATTAATTTTTAGAGGAACATGGGAAAAAGGGTCTGATTCACTCTGTCTTCCTTCCTTATTCCAGAAACCTATTTGTTTATTCTTTTGCTTTTGTCATCAGGGTCAGAGTTCATGGTTAAATAGAGGAACCACAGGGATGAAAATGAGAGTGTGCGTTATAAATATTTCTGCGGAGAGAGTGTGGGGAAAATGGCTCTGCTGGGTCTTGTTCACGCGCTGCCATGTCTCCCATTGTTATCAGGAGGGATGACATCAGCCCGTGTATCATTTTTCTGACGGCTCTGTGTGTGTGCATGTGTCTGGCTGCAGATAAAGTGATCAGTTTCCACGTTTTCCAGGACTGTCCAGATTTGAGATGTTTTGTCCTCATTCGTCAGTCCAATTCTGGGCCCATATTTTTGGGGTTAGGCCTTGCCCAGGATGTGTCAAGGAGGGAAAAATGAGCAGGGCCTCCCCAAGGAATTCTAGCCCCATCAGTTGCTGGAAATGCGTGTTTGAGTCAGTCCCCAGTGCTTCAAACCTGAAAGGAGGGAAGGAAGCTATTTGCTTGCTTCCCGCATCCCCCTCCCCTCCTGCGCCCCAAGCAGGGTGGGGGAGAGGTGGGCGGGGCTGGGAGGGCCGGGCAGGCTGGTAACTGCCCGCTGGTATGATTTCAAGGCTGTCTGTCCAAATCAACCACCCCTATTTGCTGCTTGAGGCCTGACCACGCTTTCCTCAGAGACTTTCTTTACTCCTTCGAAAGGAGCTGGGGGCTGAAAAGGCCGGGAGAGGGAGCCTGTGAGTCGTGTTCATCCTCAGTGGCTCCTATCTGGGTTTGGACAGAGGGGAGGGCGGAGAGAAGAGAGGGTGCCCACATCTTGACGGGCATTGGGGGGAGGAGGGGGCACCCGGAGAAGGGGGAGGGGGACGCTGGCGGGGTTGGGAGGTGTGGCCATTGGACGCTAACATCCTTCATTCCAGAACTTCCCAGGTCCCTGAAGGGGACTCTGACCCTCGCCTGCAGGACGCACGTCCCTCCTGTAGGGCCTCCCGACCCTCCTGAGTGACAGACTCTTCAGACCAGGGAACCTGCAGCCCTGAGGCCTCCCCGCCCCTCCCTCTCACTTCCCTATAGAAGCCCTGGCGCCACCTGACTGTCAGAAGGGGAAGTGCACGCAAGGGGACCACCCAGTTGTGCCAGGTTCTGGAAATGCCGCGTTGCCCGCTCGGTCGGCAGTCTGCAGTGAGCTCAGAGGACCCTCAAGAGGACGAGCTGGCAAGGGCCCAGGAGAGGAGGAGTGGGGTCTGTGAAGAGGTTTGTCGGGAGGCGGCCCTGCAAGTAGAGACCTTTGTCTTCCTCCTTAAGGGCAGGCCCTGGGGTCAGATAAAGCCTAAGGTGAGAGACAGTCTTCCTGTTGGTTCATTACTGTCCTCCTGTCACATCCGGAGTCTCAAAACAAGAGTCAGGGCCTTTTCCACACAGAGTCCTGTTTCCCTGGCCCCAAGTGACTGTAGGTCACTGATTTGGGAGTGGGGTGGGGGTGGGGACATACAGCCATAGGCCACCAAGGCGAGTTTTGGGCACTTGTCCCAACTCATCTTTTTTCCTTGTCACCCACTCTCCCTGGCACAGTCCTCCTCCATGGCCACGGGAAAACATATATTGTCCTTTTCACAAATTAGACGGAAGGGACCCAAGAGACGGACCATCTAGAAAGCCCTCTTTCCTTGCAGGAATCTCTTCATTCTTGAAAGGCGATGTTGAACCCTTCCAATGACTGCGAGCTCACTCCCTCACAAAGGCCCTCACTCCTCTTTAGGACAAGTCCAGCTGTTCGGAAGTCATCTTCCTTCATTCAGGCCCCCAGCTGCCCCCTGGATTCTCCCTCTTATTGGTTTGAGTTGGCCAAACTTTTGGTAAAGTCCTTCCTCCACCTGACAGAGCTTCAGACGCTCCAGGCCTGTCCCAATGTGTCCCTCAAGGCTTCTCCAGGTTCAGATGCACGCGTTTTGAGTGGCCAGGTGGTATAGTGGTTAAGTTTGTGTGCTCTGCTTCCACGACCCAGGGTTCACCAGTCTGGATCCTGGGCGAGGACCTAGCATCGCTCATCAAGCCACGCTGAGGCGGCGTCCCGCACAGAAGAACTAAAAGGACCTACAACTGGGATATGCCACTCCGTAGTGGGGCTTTGGGGCAAAGAAGGAAAAAAAAGAGGAAGATTGGCAACAGATGTTAGGCCAATCTTCCTCAAAAACAAAAAGAAACTGACATCTAAAAAAAAAAAAATGATGCACATGTTTCTTTGGCCTGTCCTCAGCAGCCTCCTTCTCCCACCTTTCCCTCCTTCCTTTGCGGTCTGTGCCCCAAATCCCTTAGCACTTTGGGGCCTGAGGGGGCAGGCCATGCTGGGCGGGTCTCCCCTCCAGCCAGAACTAGAGGAGATTTACTCGCACGAGGAGTTCAGGGCACCCAGGGGTCAGGGCTCTCTGGGCCCAGTTCCCTATTCCTTCTCCATGTTCCCCTCAGGGGACACCCGCCCCAGAGTGAGGACCCAATGATCCTAGAATGAGCGCGCGGAGTGGAATCTTGACTGGTAGCTGGCCTTGTATTTCTTGCGCTGGGCTATGCTTACCCCCGAGCCCTCAGCCATGAGCTCAGGCCTCTCAAAGCTGCTGGGTGGACAAGGAACGCTGACTTTACTAGAAGATTCTGGGGAAAAGGCATGGAATGTAACTGGCAGGTAGTTCAAGATAATGTTTTTACGTTAAGACAAATGCATATAAATTATGTAATAGAATGTAGACGTGTGAATTTTAATGTCACAACATGCGACTTCAGAGGCGTTTTCCACTCCAGGAAGGTCTTCTGGCTGTTTCTTTAGAGTTGAGTCCCCAATCCCCCCACTGGCTGGCCCCTCTGCTGAGGGGTGTTTGGATGGAGAACTTGGAGAAGCGCTGATGTGCTCCGTCTCCTTTGTTATTGAGGTGAGGAAAGTGAAGACCCGAGTAGAGAAGTGATTAGACTAAGGACACACAGCTTGGAGGAGTCCAGATTTGAAACTCAGATCTGCTCTTTCCTCTGTACCAAGAGATGCCGCATTAGGTTTATGCGAATGCGTACCATGGCAAGAAAGGGGATCAAAAACAGAAAAGGGGCTTTGAGCGAACCCTTGGTTATCCAGAAAACACAGTTGAAAGACCGATTCTACTTGGAGTCTGTGCTCTGCGTGGAGGAGAGTTGACCCCACTCAGTGACAGAGTGTACTTCTCTACCTCTTTCAGGGTCCAGCGTTCCCTGGTTGGGAGAGAGGCTCAGGTGAAAAAGGAGGGGAAGTCCAAGGCCAGGGCCAGGGAAGGAGAGGAAGACGTCCAAGGTGGGAACAAGGCCAGCTGGAGGCCGCTCTGGACGCCGAGCCAGGGAGCTGGTAGGGCTGGCTGGTAGGGCTGGCTGTGTTAAAACGGTCGGACACCCGTGGACTTTCCCTTGCTCACACGCCACAGGCTGTACCCACACACATGTACACACACACACACACCCCTCACACTCAGGCTCATAGATGCCCAAAGATGATGATCAAATGCTCCCTCACAAAGCCGAAAAGTAGGAGGCCACTGGAGGAGTGAATTCTGGCCTCCCCACCCCACAACCACCCACTGACACTGAAATGAGGATTAGAAGGGGGAAGCTGATCTTAACCAGGGAATTGAGCAAGTGGAGCTATCTTGTCCTCAAAACGCCATGCTTGAAATTATTAAGTAAGGGTCAAAGGTCGGCATTTTTTTTTAAAGGTGTCTTGGACATTATTGTAAGTTTGTGACACCCAATCGTCAAAACCCGAAGCAATGAACATCTATAGATGGGCTTGTTACTGTCGCCTCTCACAGAAGTGCAACTCTCAATATAACTTAATCAAGTCAATTAATACTGTTTAATAAATAGGCCAGAAAATTAGCTGAGAGTTTTTCTCGGCGGGATGCGGCGTGCGACCAGTTATGGAAGATTGTCCCTTGAATCACTAAGGCAAACTTTGTTGAGTGTCATTTTACATAAAGCAATCACATAAAAAAAGAGTTATAAATAGAAAAAATTCCAAAATTCTCCCACAGACAGACAGGGAAATCGAAACATCAAAAAAAAAAAAAAAAAAACCAACCAAAAAAAAAAAACCAAGAAACAAAATAAAACACAACCACCCCCACGCCCACACCCCATCTGCTTCAAGTTCTTCTGATCATACAGTACTCAACATCTTTGGATATTTTACAACGTACAACTCTGAACTGCAGCCAAGAGAAAGCAAAAAGAACTAACCAGTCGTCTGAAAAATTGAGTTTATAAGAAGTCATTACCTTTACAAAATAAAAACAAAAGCCCAACACCACTGGATTCCAATGTGTTCACTTTTCCTCGATTTCTTTTAAAGTTTGGGTCAGCCCCAATCCCTCGGCCGATGGGGGGAGCATGGGCATGCTGGCTGGCGGGCCCCAGAAGCGAGTGTCTGAAATGGAGACAGGAATCCAAGAGACGGCTACCCAGGCAGATGACACCTGAAGACAAGAGGGGTCGGAAGCAAGTCCCTGTGGCCAAAATGGCATCTGGTGGTACGTGGGGTCAAGGGGGGTTCTCTTCTGGGGAGCTGGGAGAGTGACAGAGTCTGTGGTCTTCTCTGGCCTTTTTGTTTTTTTTAGGTTTGCTCAGGAGGAAGCCAAGGCGATAGGAAGAGCCCAAGTCTCTTGAGCCCACAGCTCCGGGACTGGGGACACCAGCCCTGGGCACCCCTGCTGATGAACTCTCCCCGTTTCCGGGCTACTGAGAAACAAAAGCAAACTCAGCCAGACAAGGGAGGGAAGGGCAGGAGAGGACAGAGAAGATCAGAAAGGCACTGGGCCAGCGGAGCTGTCTTCCTTCGCAGGACCCGCGACAAACTCAAGAACCAGGGAGAGGGTGTGGACCCCAACCCCCAGGGCCCTTCAAACCCACATCAGAGCCCAGGCTCTGGCTCCCCGCACGGAGGGGGCCACACACCCCAGCTTCACCCCTGGAGGGAGGAGGGAGGGGTCGAGGGTGCTCAAACACAGCACAGAGGGCCATGGCCAGCCACGCCAAAGCCCTGAGAAACTGGAACTTGAGAAGCGACTAGAAACCCCAGACACCAGGTGCTTTGTCCAGAATCATGGTGGAGGGAGGCGGTTGCCAGGTGTTAAGAGGCAGGCCTGGTCCCGTCTATGTTGACCCCAGGAGTCCCAAGAGACTCGGTACAGCACTGAAGGGGGCATGTGGAGGCGGGGTAAATGCTAACTGGTCATCCTCAGGGCCCCAGACATGCACCGCAGCCTGCCCGGGAGGAGGGTAGGATTCAGAGTTCCCCAAAGCTGCCTGCAGGCTGTGGACAAGCCCCACCTCAGCTCTCTCTCTCTGTCACCCTGTCTAGTGTGGCCACGTTTCTCACCTGTGCTAATACAGAGGTGGATGTGATAAAATGGAAATCCCATAAGACAGATGGTTTCATCACGGACTTCAGGAGTGGAAAGCTCTGCCCTCTCCAGAATTCTCTGTGGAGGGATAGGCCTGTACACGTGCGAGGGTGGCTGGGAGAGGGGAAAATAAGAGGAGAAACTAGCAGCCCCCTTTCATAGCAGGGTGAAACCTGGGTGCAAAGGGCTCCTGTCCAAGGTCACTGGACAGTGAGGGAAAAATGGGCCTGGACTGCAGGAGCCTTGCTCCTGACTCCAGGAGGCGTCCCTGCCAATAGGGCATTTCCCATAAGCATCCCAGGACTGCTGGAGACGGGGATGCCTCCTCAGAGTAGTGTCTGTAGGGACTTTGCCATAGGGTGAGGCTCCGCCAGGCTGTGTGTGCCAGGACCCTACCCTCCTCCCTGCTCCAGCTGGCCTGCCTCTGGCCAAGCCACCTCCCTCCATCTAGCGCCACACAGCTCCAAAGTGCTCCTGGGCACCAGCGTGTGGCCTCCTCTGTGGCGTGGGCCTGTGTGAGTGTCTGTGTGAGAGCCACAGAGACAGTCAGGGAGCAGCCAGGCCCTCGGGGAGGAGAAGCCCATCTCAGACACCAGCAAAAGGGAGGCAGCTGCCTCAGGAGGCCCGGAAAAGACCATTGCTGCTTATCTGTTTTTTCATTTTCCCATTGCGATTTGAAATACAAAGTTCAGAGCCACTGGGTGAGGCAGGGTGGGCCTGGTGGGAGAGGGTACGGGGCTGCTGGACTGGGGTGACAAGGACCAGCCTAGTTGTTGGCTTCAGACATGGAGGCCATATGGTTGAGGCCCGCGAGCCCGGGGAGGCCGGCCAGGCCCGCGGCCCACGGGTCGGGCAACGGGAAGTAGGGCCGCGCGGCGGCCACGTTCTCAGCCAGCGCGAAGGCCAGGAGGCCCCCGGCGTTGCGCTCGGCCTCCAGCTGCGCGCGCCCGAACAGCTTCATCTGCGTCTCCTCGAACTGCCGCTCGAGCTCCTGCAGGCTCAGCGCACCCTTGGGCGCCGCCAGGAAGTGCTTGGCGGGGCTGGGGCCCGGGAGGCACACGGCCGCCCCGCCCAGGTGGCCGCCCACATCGCCCAGCGCCGGTGGCATCACGAAGGCCGCCTTGTCGGGCGCCGCGCCGCCGGGCCCGAAGAGCAGGCTGGCGGCCCTCCAGGCGGCGGGCTTGCGGCCGCGCCGGGGCCGCGCCATGCGGCAGCTCTGGCGCTTGATGTGGCGGTGCAGGTGGTCGGAGCGCGTGAAGCTCTTGTAGCAGAACTCGCACTGGTAGGGCCGCACGCCCGTGTGGATGCGCATGTGGTTCTTGAGGTCGTAGTTGTGCACGAACTTGGCGTTGCAGTGGATGCACAGGTAGGGCCGCTCCCCCGTGTGCTTCCGCATGTGGATCTTCAGCTTGTCCTGCCTGCAATGCAGAGCCTGGATCAGTGCCTGCGCAGAAGGCCCGGAGCCACTCCTAACCCTCTGCTCCTTCCTCCTCCAGAACCTGCTAAGGCTCCCTCCTACCATGGTGTCAAACCCCAGGAACGGCACCCATGCTGAGAGTTACCTTCAACGGCTGCCCCACCCCAAACAGGTGTGGCCACTCACCTGGATTAGAGGGCTGGAGAAGGGGCAGTGTCCTAACAGGCATCCTCCACTCCAGAACTCCTTTTACACATTAGCTCAGAGTCATGAAGCTCCTACTCTGGCGGGGGCCTGGCTCACAGACTGGGAAATAGACTAGCTGGGGACACAGGCCCGCGAGGTCAGCAGTCTGTCTTTAGTCCTTCCACGGAGCAGCAACTTCTGATACTGGATTGCACCTTAATCTCATACCCCCTCTTTTCAAGCAACAGTTTTCCCTCCGGGCCCATCCTGCGCTGTTGCCCAGGGCCCCTGGTCCCATCCCAGCTCCTGAGCTGTTGCGATCTGTCTGTCCTCAGCGCTAATCTGGGAGGCTTTGGAAGCCGGCACACCTTGTTCAAGTCTCCTGCACTGCGGTTTCTCATCCCAAGCCCTGGGCTGTCCTCTTTGTAGACCATTCCAGGATTTACAAAAGAGCCAGGTGCAACAAGAATGCAGCCTAATCTAGGGCAAAGCTTCTCAGGATTTAAGGGGTATTATTCAGAGGTAAGGTATGGTGTAGGCGTGGGGCTCCCCTCGGGGGTGTGAGACCCACCACTAACATGCTGGGTGACCTTAGGCAAGTTACTTAACTTCTCTGCACAGGGCTGAACCTAGCACAGACATCAGTTTGTATTGTTCAGGGCTGATGGAGAGAATCTGGGTTTGTGTTGAACAAGATTCAATACACCTCCTGGTGGTCTTGAAAGGAAAACTGACATCACGGGGTTGTTTTCCTAAAGACGGAGCTCTGGGTAAACCAGCTGGGCTGCAAGGACTCCTCTTAGGATCCTTCTATAGCCTTCCCTAACCAGGCCTGGCAGGCCGGGAAGCTCTGTGTCCAGTCTCCCACCTCCTCCCGGCAGGTGTGGCTTGGGTGGAGTGTCTGCCTGTCATTTTGGGCTCGGGTTTGAGGTTGGGGCAGGTGTGGCGCCCAGGCATCCTCCCTAAAGTGGCCAGATTTAAACCACGCTCAACATAACCCCAGGCCAGCGGGAGCAGGTCCTGGGCTCCCGGTGTCCCCTGGCCGCTAGAGGTCTCACTGGCTCTCATTTTTGGGCTGGTTCTCCAGGGGCAGGGCTAGAGAGAAAAGGACATTCATGTGTACACTGGCAGAGACCAGGGGAGGAGGACCAGGGAGGATGATGCGTCCAGCCCACCTGTGCTCTTGGGAAGGTTGGAGGGCACCTGGGAGGCGGGGGTGGGGGTGGGGAGTAGGATGGGGAGGGAGGAGGAAGGGAGTGCTGCTGCCCAAGCTGGCTGCTGTCTTCCACACACCACATCCTCCTCTCTTCCAATCCCTCTGCCTCTGCCCCTCCCACAACCCGCCAGCTGCCCCTCGGCTGCATAGTACCCTGCTGTGACATCCACGCCCCCTCCCCCTGCCAGCATGCTGCCCCTATGGTATCTGTAACCCACATTTCATCCAGGCGATGGGTTTTTGAGTAGGAAGAGGTCTAAGAGAGCATCCAGGCCAGTGGGCCTCAAACTTGAGTATGCGTCAGAACCACTACCAGGGCTTGATGAGACCCAGGGCTGGGCCCCCTCCCAGAGCTTCTGATGCAGTAGGTCTGGGGAAGAGGGGCGGAGAATTTGCATTTCTAACAAGCTGCCAGATGCTGCTGCTCCTGCTGCTGCTGCTAGCCCATGGACCACTTTGAGAAACACTGGCCCAGGCTAATTCTTCACTCTGCAGATGGGCAAACTGAGGCCCAGGGAGGGGAATTGGCCAAGGGCACCTTACCGGGCAGAGCTGGGACTAGAACTCAGGCCTGTTGGCTCCCAGTCCAGGCCCCTTCCTCACTACTGTAGGGGTGGGGGGAATAGTGCCCTCTAGAGAGGCTATGCAGTGCTGACGACTATGTCTTGGGACTGCACACGTTCACTCAGGCTCTGATGGAACCCTGACGCTAGGTGGTCGGCTAGGCTCACTCACTGGCTATGCGACTTGCCCTCACCAAGGCCTGGTGGAAGGCTCAGTTCAGAGTCATCAGTGGGGTTTTACATACACCATCTCATTTAAATTCCTCACCACAACCTTATAAGGTAGATTTAAAAAAATTCACTATTACGTATAATTAGTAGTATTGGCCCTGAGGATCACCCTCAAATAATGGACAATGCAAATGGTAGATCTTTAAATATCAAGGGCCTATTATAAATATCCACTGCTTCTCCCAAGCTTTTCATTAGGGCATCAGAAATAAATCACATTTCAGCATCAATTGGCCCAAGTGTAAGTAGTGGTGAGAACGTGACTTTAACTTCATTTTACTGAGCACCTGCTATTGGCAGATGAACGACCCTGGAAGGTCCTTATTCAGAGGCAGGGTATGGGGTAGGGGTGGGGCCCCCATTAGGTGGGTAGGAGCTCCTGCTCTAGCTGCAGACCCACCACTAACTGGCTGGGTGACCTTTAGGTAAGTTACTTACTCTCTCTGTGCAGAGCTGAACCTAGGGCCAGATATTAATTCCTATTGTCCAGGGCTGATAAGAGAATGTGGGTTAGTGTGAGCTAGATTCAACATACCTGGTATAATTTCCTCCCTTGGACAGAGGAAAAGTGGGGGCTCAGAGAAGGCAAGCAGCTTTCCCAAAGGTATCCAGCCCGGTGAGGTGCAAAGGGGTCTGGAGGGCTATTTGGGGTGTGGTTTGTTTGCAAGCTGTTCTGAGGTTGAGAAAGGGTAGATTTTCAAAACTAGAACACCCAGCCTGCAGCCTGTAAGGGCTGCCTCAGAAAGTGCAGACCAGAACAATCCAAACAGGGCATTTGCAGCCAGCTTTCTGCCTCCAGGGCCAGAAGACTGGGGCACGCCATGGGGGGAGCTCAGCCCTGGCAGGAGCTGCTGCCCCTAATGAAGACTTTTCACAGGGGCAGGAGAGAGGGCGAGTAGAGTGGGCCAAGCTCATGAGAAACTAGTCCTGGAAAAAAATTTAGAGAGCATCTAGTTTACCAGGAGCACGTGACCATGTTCTGACTCACAGTCTGAGGCAGTGGGCCCAGCAACCTGCATTATTAGCAGTATGCTTCCCAGCACCTTGAAAATATTGATCTAATCCAGTTCCCTCACTTGCAAGATAAGGAAACCAAGGACCAGAGAGGGAATGGCTTTCTAAGGTCGCACACCTCCTATTCCTGTAAATGACCTTTCCGAGTGGATATAATGCGCATAGGCTTCGGCAGAGCAGGGCCCAGTGTAGGCACACTCCAAGAACTGGGCCAGGTTCTTAGTGGCCCTGGGCCTCAGTTTCCTGACCTCTAAAATGGGGGTGCTGGGCTGCACCCTTTTGACCTCTGGTGTTCTGAATGTGTTGATCTGGGTGACAGGCTTATACCGAATCTCTTTCTGGAGCTGGGTTGACCGGTTGCCTTCACAGATTTTGGCCCTTCTACCCTTGCCTCTTCACGAATCTGATCTGCTCATGGACACAGCATGAGTGTCTCTGGAAGATGTTCTAGCCAGACTCTCAGGAGCTGAGCTCTTCGTCACTTCCCTTCAGAACTGGAGGTCTGGTGGTCCTCTTTAAATGCTCAAGGCTCCCCTGTGCAGTGGCCCTTGCCCTAACTTACCCTTTAGCATGGCTATCAACCCTCTTTACAAGCTCATCCCTTCCGGTTATAAGATGCATAAGTTCTGGGGAGCCCTGGTGACTACAGTGAATGATACAGAATTGCATACTTGGAAGTTGCTAAGAGAGTAGATCTTAAATATTCTCACCACACACACACACACACACACACACACACACACACACACAGAGGCATCTAGGTGAGACGATGGAGGTGTTAAGTAACCTGACTGTGATAGTCATTTCACAATGCATACGCATATCAAATCATCACATTGGATACCTTAAGGTTATACAATATGTCAATTACATCTCAATAAAGCTGGGGAAAAAAGATCACCCCATCTACTTTTCCAGACCCCTGCCCCTCCCGATAGTACTGCGCCCACACACACGGATATGCTGTTCACCTAGCAGGCCACACTCTGGTCAACTTTGCATCTTTGATCACCTGCCGGCATGAGCTAGATGGCCGGACCCCCTACTGCAGCACCTGCCATATTGTGGGATGGATGCTTGGTACCTGGCTCCTTCCCTGTCTGTGCATATCTTGTGTATGATACCAGTGCTCCATCCTTAGGGTCCTACCAGAGGTCCAAGCCTAGATGCTGACACCCCTCTCTTTGCCTCCTTCCTTCCCAGCTGTGAGCCCTTGCTCTAGCTCTCCTCCTCCCGGCACCCATCTCTTCCATCTCTGAGTTTATTTACTCTTGCAAGCTGCTTTGTCTGAAATGTTTCCCCTCCCAATCCTCCCTGGCCCTTCAAGGTCAAACTCAAGGGCAGTTCTCCACAAACCCCGCCCTGTCCACCCAGGTCTCATCCTTTGCTCTGACCTCCCTGAATACCTGTGACCTGAACACTGCAGCTCAAGGCAGCTCACCCAAGGAACAAGGAAGGAGCAACAGAAGATGATGTGTCGGCGTCCTCCTTTCCTGCTCCCTGATGGCCCCGTAGGTGTCGGCATTGCCCTCCCGGCAGATCGTGAGCTCTGGAGGCCAGGTCTCCCTGTCCACGTCATTTGCACAGGTACTCCTGGCCAATGGAAACGCTTGTTCAGAGGCCACCTCTGCTGCCTTTATTTCTGTGCATGTTATTTCCTAGGCAGGGGCCGTCACGTGTGCTGTTTCCCTAGCTGCCGCTCAGGCCCGCAGAGCCACCACCCTGTCCCTGGCTCCTGGAGCCCTGTCTTGCTAGGAGCTTAGACAGCAAGATGATGCAGGAGGCCGCAAA